GTCCTCGGGAGCCATCCCCCCGAACCGGGGGGCCGTGCCGCCGCCAGCACCACTGCAAAGGGATTCTTCCGCAGTCTTAAGCACAGAGCCCGAGGGAGACAAACCGCGGTTCGCGTCAAACTTATGATCCCTGGTAACTGTGAGCAACAGACTTGTAACGAACCCAGCACCGTCCCCAGAACTGTTTTAGCCTGTTTCCTAATGTATTCCAGCAGTCTACTATGAGAAAAATACCTTAGACAGCTTTGCCCTACGTAACGAATGTAAAAATTATATATATAAGGTATATCTATCTCAAAAAGAAAAAAAGGGGGAATTAAAAAAACTTGTTTGAATTCATGTCTTCCTTTCTTGCAACCATGAAAGAAGTCTAAATTCAGCTGTAATATTACTTATTTTTAATGTGTCAACTTTAAAATCAGTCTAACAGATTTCTCTGTTTATGAGGTTTGCTACTTTCATGGGAAAATTGTTAACACAATAACAAACTTCAAACAAGTATATGAAAAAAGAAAAAGAGAAATATCAATCTAACTAACACATAGCACTTACTGAGTGATATTCTGAAACTTTGTTATTTCATTTATTGCATACACATTATTAATTTCTTGTGAAGAATTCAGTTATTTCCCATTGCATTTCATATGTTAGCACTTTCTGTTGGGAATTAGATTGGAAAAGAAATAAATTGCAAACACCTGCAGTCAAAAGGCTGGCACTAGCGCTCCTCTGGATAGCTTGTAACCTCACAACATGTCAACCCTTCTGTCATTTCAGAAAACTGGGTGGACTTCAATATTGACATTGCTAAAGACTTTTACAAAGACTATAAATATTGCCATTGTAAATAACTTTCTAGACCCAAACAAAAATAGCTGCTGTGTGGTGTACCATTGCAAGGTCTTTGTTTAGGAATTTAGGTTCTGTTCTTCACTTCAAAATTTACAGTTTTAAAATTTGTTAAAGCTAAGTGCAACACAACTGTTAAATCGTAATGCAATGGCTTAAAACCTACAATGTTACTTTTACATGCAATGTTTTATGCAAAATTGTACGCTTGATCCTGCAAACCGCTTGTACTTCACCAATACCGTCACTTTTCTTCTCCTTGCCCTCAATAGCATCTGAGAATATCCCATGCATGCTTTGGAAAAAAAAAAAATAAAAAAGATGATAAAAATAGGTTCAGTCAGCCATTGTAGGAAAAGGCTTTACGGTATCTTAGAAAATAATAACCAGTCATTAATTGTGTCTACCTTAAAATTCCTATAATGCTGACTTTGAATCTCTGGTTTAAGTCTAGAAGTGAGGTTTTTCATTTAAAGGATTATTTGTAAACCACAGCTTGATTTAGGCTTTCAGGTGCTTTCTGTGTCTTCACTGTAGTTTTGTAGTTGACTGTGGTGTTAATTTACAAAAATAAATATAATATAGCATCAAGTCTGTCTGGAAATGCACGATTTGCTCTGTGTATACTGTAACTAAATGGTTAGTATATCCTAAGGCATGTAGTGTCAAACATAGCCCATAGGTATGAGGTGTATTATTTTTTATGTCTTCAAAACAGAAAGGAAATGGTGACAGAAAGCAGGGTTAAAGCATACTGTTTTGTGAACGTTTTGTTTTGTTTGCTCAAACTTTCACGTTATCTTATCCACAAAAAAAAAAAAGTTCTTTCGTAATCATTTGTGCCTGATTTGTCACATTAAATAGAGACTGAAACTAATTGTGTCATAATTTAGCTCATTGAGAAATCAGCATTATGGATATGATACAAGCATATATTCTGTTCCTTAAAATCCAGCTGAATCATGTTAAGGAAGTAAATGCAAAGGAGTTCTTCTTTTTCCATTAATGCTGAGTTTAACGATGCATGGAAAAATTAAATAGCATCACAAACTACGTAATGCAGTGAATCCAGATGTACTTGAGAGCCAAGTAAATATTCTAAAGCTAACAGAGCTTGAACCCATGCTGCCTGTTATGCCTTCTACTAAAGTGGTACATCAAATAAAAATTTAAAAAAATCTTCCAGTTCTTTCTGACTCCCACTCACCGGTAAAAAGCAATGTAATTAACCCATTAACATGCTGCTGCCATTAATTAAGTGGCCCAGAGTAGTATATGGGGAAGTGATTGTTTAAAAGTGTTTGGAACATTATGGATACACTGCAAGACCATTTATTTATCAGTACAGTACCCCTTATATTATTTTAATACTAACAAATTCCGTCAGTTAATTAAGATCATATACTGATCTCTCAAACTCTTTAAGGTTTACATTTAATAGGAGAAATGGGGTTAGTAGCGAAATATTTTTATATATATTTTTATTTTATTTTAAGCAATATGTAGAAATATTAATTCACGTGGTCTTTCAGTGAAACCATAAATAATTTTTAATGACTTTGTAATAGAGTGGACAATATCTAGGATTTGTATGTTAATTAAAAAAAATGGTACAGGGTATAAAATTATATACGTATATATATGTATGTATGAATGTATATATACTTAGATTAAGATACAAATGACTCACATTCCTGTAATATAAAGGTCCATTGCTAGTTTCAGAACTGACCTATTTTCTCTGTACATAAGTAAGCCCGTAAGTATGAAATCTCACATCTGTACAGGATGAAATGTATTAATGAAAAAGGTTGGATCTTAACTGCTGCTGGGAGGACTATAGATCTGATTCTTACAATAACTGTATGTTCAGGGATGAGTTAGATTTTTTCTTTTGTCTTTGCTCAAAGCCATAAAAAATATATCTAAAAGATTATTAATAAATTGAAGAAAATATATAAAAAATAAAACCATGAATATCTTTTGGTTCCAATATCTTTATAACTGAGCAAGTTTTGCTTTACCATGAAAAAACAACTGTTTGCTTTTTCTCTTTTCTTTTTTCTGAGCCCAGAATTGATTTGCACTAAGCACGGCGTGGTGGGGAAAAAACTGCCTGAGTAATTATGTGCACTGCAGGAAAAAGAGGGCTTAGATATTTGAGGATACTACCTGATTTACTCAAGCAATTCCTAAGCTATATTTCCTCTGTAGATTAG